ATGGAGCACAGGATGTCTTGCTGTCATCTTCCAGCTTTCGGCGAGCATGGGAACAGTGCAGTGGATGCTGATGCAAGCTGCACCACCGCAGTGGTGCTGTGTGCTGCGCCCGGGACCTCCTTCGATTTACAAGTTCGGCGGCATTGCATGCCATGCACACCAGTGGGGGTTGCTCGTGTGCACAGCTCGATCGGGCGAGATTTGCTGTCCTGTGGGCGTGTGCAAGGCACGGTAACTAGTTGGTCATGTGCAGTTTGTGCTGTATCTTGGCCAAAGGGCCCCATCTTGGAGGACCTTGCATGGATGGCAGCAGGGCTTCCTGCACCGAGAGCCCGCGGTCGACAGCTTCATGAGCTGAGGTGCAGCTTGGTGTGGAGACTTCCAGAAGGAGCTTCCCCCAAGCGCTCCGGCCTGTGTGCACGACGAGCAGAGAGAGCCTCTTTCGAACCTGCAATCGCACTAGTCTCACTAGTCGCACTGTGCAAGACAGCCTGCCCATGATGCCAACTGCTCAGCTCGGATTTGCAAGGGAGCCTACACCATCGGACCATGCATGGATGCTGGCCGGCGCTGAGGCTTCGACCTGTTGAGTTTGTTTTGCCCTTCAACCTGTTTGCATTTGCTGCCGCTGACCCGATCTCAGACTCGGACTGCACCAGTGGGGGTTGCTCGTGTGCACAGCTCGGCCGGGCGAGATTTGCTGTCCTGTGGGCGTGTGCAAGGCACGGTAACTAGTTGGTCATGTGCAGTTTGTGCTGTATCTTGGCCAAAGGGCCCCATCTTGGAGGACCTTGCATGGATGGCAGCAGGGCTTCCTGCACCGAGAGCCCGCGGTCGACAGCTTCATGAGCTGAGGTGCAGCTTGGTGTGGAGACTTCCAGAAGGAGCTTCCCCCAAGCGCTCCGGCCTGTGTGCACGACGAGCAGAGAGAGCCTCTTTCGAACCTGCAATCGCACTAGTCTCACTAGTCGCACTGTGCAAGACAGCCTGCCCTAGTTGGTTATGTGCAGTTTGTGCTGTATCTTGGGCAAAGGGCCCCATCTTGGAGGACCTTGCATGGATGGCAGCAGGGCTTCCTGCACCGAGAGCCCGTGGTCGACAGCTTCATGAGCTGAGGTGCAGCTCGGTGAGGAGACTTCCAGAAGGAGCTTCCCCCAAGCGCTCCGGCCTGTGTGCACGACGAGCACAGAGAGCCTCTTTCGAACCTGCAATCGCACTAGTCTCACTAGTCGCACTGTGCAAGACAGCCTGCCCTAGTTGGTCATGTGCAGTTTGTGCTGTATCTTGGCCAAAGGGCCCCATCTTGGAGGACCTTGCATGGATGGCAGCAGGGCTTCCTGCGCCGATAGGCCGCAGTCGACAGCTCCATGAGCTAAGGTGCAGCTCGGTGTGGAGACTTCCAGAAGGAGCTTCCCCCAAGCGCTCCGGCCTGTGTGCACGACGAGCTCAGAGAGCCTCTTTCGAACCTGCAATCGCACTAGTCTCACTAGTCGCACTGTGCAAGACAGCCTGCCCTAGTTGGTCATGTGCAGTTTGTGCTGTATCTTGGCCAAAGGGCCCCATCTTGGAGGACCTTGCATGGATGGCAGCAGGGCTTCCTGCACCGAGAGCCCGCGGTCGACAGCTTCATGAGCTGAGGTGCAGCTCGGTGTGGAGACTTCCAGAAGGAGCTTCCCCCAAGCGCTCCGGCCTGTGTGCGCGACGAGCAGAGAGAGCCTCTTTCCAACCTGCAATCGCGCTAGTCTCACTAGTCGCACTGTGCAAGACAGCCTGCCCTAGTTGGTCATGTGCAGTTTGTGCTGTATCTTGGCCAAAGGGCCCCATCTTGGAGGACCTTGCATGGATGGCAGCAGGGCTTCCTGCACCGAGAGCCCGTGGTCGACAGCTTCATGAGCTGAGGTGCAGCTCGGTGTGGAGACTTCCAGAAGGAGCTTCCCCCAAGCGCTCCGGCCTGTGTGCACGACGAGCAGAGAGAGCCTCTTTCGAACCTGCAATCGCACTAGTCTCACTAGTCGCACTGTGCAAGACAGCCTCCCCTAGTTGGTCATGTGCAGTTTGTGCTGTATCTTGGCCAAAGGGCCCCATCTTGGAGGACCTTGCATGGATGGCAGCAGGGCTTCCTGCGCCGAGAGGCCGCAGTCGACAGCTCCATGAGCTAAGGTGCAGCTCGGTGTGGAGACTTCCAGAAGGAGCTTCCCCCAAGCGCTCCGGCCTGTGTGCACGACGAGCAGAGAGAGCCTCTTTCGAACCTGCAATCGCACTAGTCTCACTAGTCGCACTGTGCAAGACAGCCTGCCCTAGTTGGTCATGTGCAGTTTGTGCTGTATCTTGGCCAAAGGGCCCCATCTTGGAGGACCTTGCATGGATGGCAGCAGGGCTTCCTGCACCGAGAGCCCGCGGTCGACAGCTCCATGAGCTGAGGTGCAGCTCGGTGTGAGACTCCCAGAAGGAGCTTCCCCCAAGCGCTCCGGCCTGTGTGCACGACGAGCAGAGAGAGCCTCTTTCGAACCTGCAATCGCACTGGTCTCATTAGTCGCACTGTGCAAGACAGCCTGCCCATGATGCCAACTGCTCAGCTTGGATTTGCAAGGGAGCCTACACCATCGGACCATGCATGGATGCTGGCCGGCGCTGAGGCTTCGACCCGTTGGGTTTGTCGTATCTTCAGCCTCAAAGAGTCCTCGAACTTTGAATAAATCGACAATTGCCTTAAGCTTACAAAATCCTTGAAGATTTCCAAAATTTTGACACGGACAGCACCACCCGGCAGCTTGGGGCCAGAATGTTTCATCTCACTGTCACCTCTTGCCTGGCCCCGCTAAACGACCCCCTAAAGGACCCCCTAAACCTCCTTAGCCCCGCAGGTAGGCTGCGCCCTTGTGTCCTCGGAACTTCGAGCCATGCTTCCAAAGCGTGACAGTCCCGCATGATCTCGTAGTCGTCCGCCAGAGCCGCGAAGTTGTGAGCACTTCGCGCTAGAGCGGTGATTGCCGAAGATGCTGGGTGCTGTTTCGCGCCTGCTTTGCACGCATGCAGCAGCACGTATGTCACATCGCCCTCCTGAGCCAGCAGTAAGACTTTGGTCTCAATCGGCATGTGCCCCTTTGCGCTTCTGGCGGCAGCCTGCGAATTGCTCGAGGCTTGCAAGCGTGCGAAGCAACAACGGTGGCACTTTCGCCCCGACTGCACATACCTTCATGCCCATAGAGCAGTCGTTCTTCCCTGTTGGCACATCAACGCCCACCAGAACACATGCCCAGTGAGCGGGGGCAATTGTCCGGCACAGAGCAAAACTCAACGACGCAGAGGTGTTTTCCGCATCCTGCAGCTGGCCATGCCTGCAACGGTGCCCTTTTCAAGTGCCGAGCTTTGACAGGCTGCACGGTCAGGCAACACCACCGCAGATGCGGCCCCCTACCGTACCTTGAACACGCTTGCTGGCTTAAGGCTTAAGGTTGCCGTTCCCGTCACATGGCCGTCCCGCACCAGCATTCCTGCGTATCCGGTTTTCCCGCCCCGAGACTGTTCAATCACTCCATGACAAAGCTGCATCTCGGACTGCTTAACATGCGAGCAATGCTAGGAACGAGGTCCCAGCGAGTTGCCTCCATGCAATGCTGAAGTGGTGCTCTTCCGGATTCCGTTTAGGTTCCACGCAAAACCAGCAGACACAGGTTTTCCGCATGCTGGAGCAAGGCCACCAGGCCGGTCAGATGGTTGTCCCTCGCCTGCATTCTTGCTCTTCCATGCCTCCCGCAGATGCATCTCGACTGGTTGAGACGGGAGCACTGCGAGATGTAAATCGTTTGCACATACAGCCGAGGGCTGCCACGCTGACAAAGCGCCAATGCGCGGATGTGTAGAAGGGGATGCAGCACACATGCTTCTCGCACCTTCTGCACCTGGGGTTGCCTACCGCGGCTGTGTTGCAATGCGCCCTCGTTTTAACAGACGTGAGCATGTAGCCTCTCAGACAGGTGGGCCTCAACGATGATTTCAAAACCGAGTCTTAACTTCATCGAATCAGAAATCAGAAATTCCCGTGGGTGGCCGTCTGCCTGCGGCCTCAGCAAGGGGCCAGGGTGATGGCTTCCCCCCACCTCCTGTCGTCAGCGTGTCCTCCGCTAGCCTGTGGATTTTTGTGCACCAGGGACACATTGCGAGCCGGGCAGGCAACGTTCGAGTGTTGAGATCACGTCACCTGCATGCCGCTGCACCCTTCCATGACATGATTCGTGGATGATGGAGGGCTGTCCACCAGTTTCAATCAGTTCTTTTCGCATTGTTGTCTTTTCGCCATGAGTGTAGCAGGCAGGGCAGACATCGGCCACCGGATGTTCGAGGAGGTCATCAGCACGGTAGCCACTTGTCGAACAGGGCCGAGCAGTTTTGCCTCCCAGATAGGCATCTTGCCAACCAGCTCACCGTAAGTGTCGCAGGCAGGCAGGGTGATGGCCGCATGAAAGTTTCTCAGCTCCTCCTGTCGTCAGCGCGTCCTCCGCCGCTGGCCTGTGGCTTATTGTGCACCAGGGACACAGTGCGAGCCGTGCAGGCAACGTTCGAGTGTTGAGATCACGTCACCGGCATGCCACTGCACCCTTCCATGACATGATTCGTGGATGATGGAGGGCTGTCCACCTGTTTCAAACATTTCTTTTCGCATTGTTGTCTTTTCGCCATGAGTGTAGCAGGCAAGACAGGCATCGGCCACCGGATGCTCGAGGAGGTCATCAGCACGGCAGCCACTTGTCCAACAGGGCCGAGCAGCTTTGCCTCCAGATAGGCATCTTGCGAACCAGCTCACCGTAATTGTAGCAGGCAGCTAGGGTGATGGCCGCATGAGAGTTTCCCAGCTCCTCCTGTCGTCAGCGCGTCCACCGCCGCTGGCCTGTGGCTTTTTGTGCACCAAAGGGACACATTGCGAGCCGAGCTGGCAACGTTCGAGTGTTGAGATCACGTCACCGGCATGCCACTGCACCCTTCCATGACATGATTCGTGGATGATGGAGGGCTGTCCACCTGTAAATCAGTTCTTTTCGCATTGTTGTCTTTTCGCCATAAGTGTAGCAGGCAAGACAGACATCGGCCACTGGATGTTCGAGGCCACTTGTCGAACAGGGCCGAGCAGGTTTGCCTCCCAGATATTTTGCAGCTGCTGCATTGTCTCCCAAAGCGTCGTGCTGCCTGCCCCCACGTGCGCTATCCTGCGTGTTTCCACTGCAGCGACGGTCTTGCAACGCGAACGTTGCCAGTTGATGCTGCTCTGGACCATGGAGCACAGCATGTCTTGCTGTCATCTTCCAGCTTTCGGCGAGCATGGGAACAGTGCAGTGGATGCTGATGCAAGCTGCACCACCGCAGTGGTGCTGTGTGCTGCGCCCGGGACCTCCTTCGATTTACAAGTTCGGCGGCATTGCAGGCCATGCACACCAGTGGGGGTTGCTCGTGTGCACAGCTCGATCGGGCGAGATTTGCTGTCCTGTGGGGGCGTGTGCAAGGCACGGTAACTAGTTGGTCATGTGCAGTTTGTGCTGTATCTTGGCCAAAGGGCCCAATCTTGGAGGACCTTGCGCGGATGGCAGCAGAGCTTCCTGCACCGAGAGCCCGCGGTCGACAGCTTCATGAGCTGAGGTGCAGCTCGGTGTGGAGACTTCCAGAAGGAGCTTCCCTCAATCGCTTCGGCCTGTGTGCACGACGAGCAGAGAGAGCCTCTCTCGAACCTGCTTTGAATAAATAGACCGTTGCCTTAAGCTCACAAAAGCCTTGAAGATTTCCAAAATTTTGACACGGACAGCACCCGGCAGCTTGTGGCCAAAATTGTCACCTCTTGCCTGGCCTGCTAAAGGACCCCCTGAAGGACCCCCTAAACCTCCTTAGCCCCGTAAGTAGGCTGGGATGGAAGATGAGGGCTCTCTTGGCAACAGAAACGTGGACCTCGACGTCCGGCAGTGTCTTGTCCTTGCGGAGCTCTGCAGTGAGGGAAAGGGGAAAGCCCCAAAATCCGATGGTTCAGAACCGCGGGGAGCCGCGGAACTCATGGGACGATGCTGGGTAGTGGCAGAACTCTGGGTCCTCGGCTCCTCCGGGGCGCGGAAAAGCCTTCGGTCTGTTTTCCTGCCAAAGACAGGGCCCTTTTCAGGAGCCACCGTTCGACGAATCTGCCCCTGTTGAGGGCGAGCCTCTGCAGAATGCGAGGCTCCTCGGCCTCAGCCTCCTCGGCTTCGGCCGCCTCTGCCGCCTCCGCCTCAGTGAGGAACTCAGCGGCACGCTGTGCGTCTGCGTCTTCTGGAAGGTTGCAGCACAGCATGCCCGAAACCGCATGGAACATCCGACCTGCTCTTAGCAACGCAGAGATGCGCAAGAAAGGACTTCTGCATCGAGAGTTTGCAGCTCAAACTGTTGTTGGGGCAGGTATCCAGCCCCAAGGCCCCAAAAGCGCTGAACCTGTGAACCTTGTCTTGCAGACTGCCGTGCAGGCCCCCAATTCGGTGCTGGGAGCTTCGGAGATCCCACGGACTTGTTACGGGTCACTTCTCTCATTCTACTCTCCCACTCTGTTAACAGGTTCGTGCGCATCCTAGTAAGTCGATTCGATTGTCAGGCCGCTGTGCACATATGAAGGAAGTTGCGACATCGTGAGGGCTTCTTTTTGATCCCACGACTCAGTGCATTACTACTTAGTGCCTACATGAACAGTGCCTTACTACTTAGTGCCTACATGAAGGATGCCTGGTTTTGTGACTCTCGCATGCTGATTGACAGAATAGTGACAAAGTAGCAGATTCAAATAACTACGGCCCATATTCATATTGCTTGTATCATGCTCAACGCCCCAAAACCTTGAAGCTCTAAACCCAGACAACCCGAACGGCCTTCAGCGCTAATTTCAATGCAAAGGCCCTTGCAAACTCAAGCCAAGCCAGCAGCGGTGAAGCAATGTCGTTGTCGGATCTCCTCCTGTCTGCACTCGAACGAGATCGAGGTTTCTGACGGTGTACTAAATCGCAAAGAAACAGCAGCTGTGGTCATGAAACAAACAAACGAACGCCGTGGCTCAGGTAGCAGTTCCAAGTTCCAAGCACTTGCGCACATGCACGTGTAGAAGTCCGGCACGCCTGTGAAGCAGACTCTTAGAGTTGGAAGCAGCGCGGGCCTCGTCCTTCATGGTCCGGCTCAGACACTCCTTCAAGCCGGAGAGTGGCCGCCAGGGTGGCCTTCGGCGTCGGAGTGAGATCCGAAAGGAGAATGGAGCTTTGATGTGCTTCGGCGCGGGTGACTCGCAGCAGACTACAGGTAGGCTTCGGGGCTTCCGGGCTCCCTTGTCTCCGCTCGTCTCCGTGGGCTTGGCCAGAAAGAGGAGCAAACCGCCAGAAAATTTGCGAAACATGGGCAAGCCGCTTGAAAGAGATTTGTAGATTGAGAACGAACGAGGAGCAACACTCTCGGAAGGGACAAGCGAGTCTGAGGGACACGACCAAACCGGACGAAAGAGAATCAAGGCTTTGAGCAAAAGGTGTATGCCCCTCCAAAGAGATTTGACAATGACAACAAAGGGACTCGGGAGACATGGGCAAGCCAACCGAAAGTGACTATGCAATGTCGCAGAGCTGACAAAACGAGCACGTTGTGGCAGGGGACTAGGAAACTTGAGAAGCAAGAGCAAAACGCTCGGAATTGGACAAGGAGGAACTTTGAGAGGGAGGAGCACACCAGTCCAAAGGGAATGCCAAATCTGACAAACAGAGCCTGACGGTTTGATGGAGATTAGAGTGGTTGAGGCTTTGACAAAAGCAGGACGAGTTAAGCGATGGAAGATAGTGCCAAAAGTTGAGAAAGAGTGGCAGGCCAGTGGAAAGGGACGAGAAAATTTGATTTTCAGGGGCAAACCGCTGGAAGTGGATTCGCGAAGTCGATAGATAATCGCGAAGAGGAAACTTTGACAACACAGTCCTGCCGAAAAGGGCTAGAAAAGTTAAGGCAGCAGGAACGGGCCGCCGGAAACAAGAAAACATGAGCAAACTGACCCCGAGAGATTGTGCAATTTGCATGCAGGAGAAGCTCAGAAACAGAAGCCAACTCTTGAACGGGGGCATTAGGAAGTTTGAGAAGCAGGAGAAACAAACGAGATGAACAACATTGAAAAACCAGAGACTCTGAGAGCGAGGAGCAAAGCAACCGAAAGGGACAACATACGGTTGATGATATAAATCCTGCATTACCTTAAGGACCCTAAACTAAGGGAATTATGGTGTACTCCTTATTCTGGGCAAGGCAGGATTCATATCATCAACAGTACTTTGAGAACGAGGAGCAAACCGCTCGAAAGAGACTAGAGACTGTGGCAAGGAGAACAATTTGAGAACGAGGGCAACCCAGCCGAAATGAATGAAACTCTTTGAGAAGGAACAAATCGCTCGAAATAATTTAGGGATTTAGGGAATCTGACAACAAGGAATGCTTGACAAAGCGAGCAAAACATGCAACAGAGATTATACAATTAACAGGAGAATTGCAGACACAGCAGCATTTTTGTCGAATGGGATTGTTTTTTTTGGAGAAGCAGGAGGAACCGGTCGAAAGAAGTTAAAAAGGTGAAGTCCTGTCAATATGAGAAAGGGCAGCAGGGGCTGGGGAGCGGAAAGTTGGAGAGGAAGGATCAAACCACGTCTCTGAACGGGAAAAACCCAGCCGAAACGGAGTTCTAACTTTGAGAATCAAGCGCCAATCGCTCGAACCAGAGGAGACAGCAACGGAGACTTGAAAGAGGCGCATAAAGGGCTTAGAAGTTCGAGAAGCGGAGGCAAACCCAGGAGAATCTGGGAAACAGTGGCAGAGGAGCAAACCAGTCGAAGTTAGAAAACCCCGGCGAAGGGGTCTAGACATTTCGAGTAAACCGCGAGCAACACACTAGGGAAAGACTGAGAACTTGCTGCAGGGAGAGTTTGAGAACAAGGAGCAAACGAGTGGAAGGGATGAGAAATGTGAACATCCATCGCAATTCAAAGGGGACTAGAGAATCCAAGGGTAAAAGGAGGGACCCTTAATAAGGACCCCTAGGTATATACCCTTAATATAGCTATTATATACCCATTATATAGCCCATTATAGGGTAGGGGTCCCCATTAAGGGTCCCTCCTTTTCCCCTTTGAGAGAATTTGTGCCATCCTTGTACTTGGGACCAGCGTTTCCGTTTGTCCGTGTTCAGCTGGGGACAGGGGTGTCCATCTCCATTTGGCACGGTGGTCGCAGAACAAAGCGTCGGCATTCCTTTTTATGCATTGACAAGAGCCCCTCTGGTTAACTGTGTGGGGCATTGGGAAATTAACAAGAATACCTACGGCAAACTGTTCGACGTTGAAGCATACCGCAGAAAGGCTTTGAGTCTTCGAGGTGACGGGCCTTTGTGTAATGAACCTTGTCAGTTCAGGGTTTGGTCCAGGGAATCGGGACTTCAGGGGTCGCCTTAGGAATCGAACGTCACGGATCGCCAAAAGCTTGAGCGTTGAGGCGCTGGACCTCCGAAGGATCGTCATACTTAAACGAAGACCCGACAGCCTGACTAAACTAATTTTAACGCTACGCCGCCCGCCTCGGCTGTGTAGCGGCAGGGCGAGGGGGCAGTCGATGTTTTTTAATGCTAGGGCGGCCTGTCAAACCCCAACCTTTACAGGAACCGACAAATCAGGTAAAATGAGGCGGGGGAGGGGTGGGAGGGGGGGGGAGGCCGACAAATCAGGTAAAATGAAGGGAAGCCGGGCAAGGGGGTGGCAAACGAACGCAAAAAACGGGTGTCCCCAAACATTTGGACCGCAGGGAGGAGGATTAGGTGGAGGGTACCTGAGCTAACCCCCAAGACGCCTGGGCCTGTGGCCTCGGCGGATTAGGTGGTTTAAGGCTCCCCACACAAGTACGTCGCAACTGAGCTGCACCGAGGAACCGACCCGTTGCATCTGCAGCTCATCTTGACAAGATCTTGAAGTTGCAGGAACACGCTTCAAGGGTACTCGGGCTTAGTTTCTTTAAGGTTCAGGGCTTGCTGCGATCAGTTGGAATTGATGCTTCCTCGTAATCACCATTCCGTCCGATTAAGTCGTGCGAGGTCCCGTGCTGAGATTTGACACATGTGAGCTTGTAGCACCATGTCGCCCCGCATGGCCACAAGATACCACTGCCACTGCTACCACATCTACCACCACTACCACAACCTACCGCCGCCTACCACTACCTACCACTGCCTACCCGTATTACCGCGACCACTAACGCTTCCCACCACCACGTACTACTGCCACTACTGCTACTGCTGCTACTTGTGCTGCTCCTGCCGATGCTGCTACTGCTGCCTACGACGACGACTTCTATTAGTACTCCTGGAGCTCCTGCTGTTGCTGCTGCTCCTCTTCACTGCTGCTACTACTACTGCTGCTACTACCGCTACTACTGCTACTGCTACTACACTACAGCAACCACTGCCACTACTACTACTACTACTACTACTACTACTACTACTACTACTCCTACTACTGCTACAACTACTACAACAACTACTACTACTACTGCTACTACTGCTACTACTGCTACTCTACTACTACTACTACTACTACTACTACTACTACTACTACTACTACTACTACTACTACTACTACTACTTGCACTGGTACGTTTGTTACTAGTACTACCACGGGCGGAACTGATGTCCTGCCCGCGCTTTTGTCTTTCACGGCTGTTCATGGCTTTCTTTACTGTTGCGGGTCTCTATAAAAATTCCATGAAGTATTATGGTTACCCAACCACTAAAAGGACATGTCGGTTGGCAAACCCAAAACCGAAAGCCCATGGAGGAGATGTTGGGGGGAAAGCTACCCTAACAGGAGACCTTCACATCTCAAGGGAGATGCTGGTTCGCAGGCCACAATCCCGCAAAGCGGGTGTTGGTTGGCAATCCTTAGATGTTGCAATTTAACCTCTCACAAACTTTCTCACTCACGCTGCATAAGGGAGATCCCGCCCACACCGAAAAGCACCGGATACTTTAGCGGTGTCGGTGAAGAACCCGGCCGGCCACATTAGGCCGCGCAGTTGCCCTCCGACGGGTAAACTAGAAGAGCTCTGAAAGAGAGCCCAAGTGGAGAAGACCAGCAGGGCTTCCCACTGAAACAGATCGACCGAAGCAAGGGAAGCCGTTCATGCTCAGGCAAGGCCGGAGAGGAGGCGACAAAAAGACAGTGACCCTGAAGGACGGGAAACTTGAAGAGAGCCGTTGGCAGAAGGCTGCGGAGGAGTGCAATACCAGCAGACCCCGGAACACCCAACATCCAAATGGCGCCACCCCGCAGAACAAGGCGGCACGACATGCGCAGTGCAATCGTAGCGGCCACAAGCCTGGCAAATAGAGGTTCTCTGGCTGAGACACTTCCAGGGAGGCGCTGTGGGTTTCAGGCTCAAGTGCAAGGCTGGAGATGACGCTACGCAAGGTGCGTAGGGCCTTCCAGGCAAGACCGTCCCAAGGATGAAAAAGGCGCAGCCCACTCCACATGGCACACACGATGCCAAGCTGAGGGAACGGGCTTCTCCACCAGCGTGTGTGGGACAGCAGTGGTGGGGTTCTCGGCATCTAGTTCCTGCCATGTGCAAACCCTGCCTCCCACAAAGGCACGTCTCTGCGAGGTCTAGCAGGGACCATGCAAGGAAGCACGCCTCTATGTTGGCACTTGCCGCAATGCTTCGTGCCAGAGCCATACACATGTGTTGGCCCAACGACAATTGTAACCGTGAAGGCATTCTGGTCGGGCCTGTAGGTGGTATCTCAACCTATCGGACGCGTGAAAATCAGTGTAAAGCAGACGGACCCGGACATAAACGGAGTCAGTGCGCAAGTTGCCTATGCTTAAGGTGCATGTGGGCGCGATGCTATTCACAAGCACCAAGAACCTTGCGGGCTTGGTGGTAGGTGAGATCAGCTCAGAGAGAGCTGAGGGTTTGGTATCGGTGCCCAAAACGGTTAAGGTGTCGGCAAGCCCCGCGGGGGGGCTTCGCATACATCCGGATGAGGGACACGTTAACAGGCCCTTGCTCCGCAAAGCCTGTAAGACAGTGGAGCTGGCAGCCGCAAGGTTCCTACTACTGCAAGTACAACTACAACTAATGCGACCTCCTGATTCGCAATGGTCCTAAACGGCCCTGCGCGCAATAGTGGGAAGGTCCCCTCTGTTGCGCATGTCCTGTAGATCGACCTGAACGCATGCTGAAGTGAACATCCGAACTATGGGCTCGCAGGGCCGTTGTAGCCAAATAGTGCAAACGGGTGAAGAAAAGCTGCCATGGGCGAGTTTGAAAGACGAAATCGAGCTAAAGAGCAGTGAACTTCGCTAAAGCGCTGAATTCGCTCGTGACATTGGCACCGGAGCCTTCAAGCCTTGCCATGGCGATCAGGGATTGGCGAGGCAAGCTTGTGTCATGTCGGCTTCTTATGGCGGACATGAAGACCGTCGGGGTTTCAACAAAGTGCCTGTCTGGGATGGAAGCCGGAGAGCTTTCACCACTTCTGTCAGGAGATGAAGTGGTTTCTGGCTGGCACGAAAGCATCCGATCGGTCGTATGCAGCAGCGCGCCTAGTGCGCCGATTGCTAGAGAGCGACTACCCTGCCCTGAAAAGTCTCATGTGCAGATTTGGATCCTGACGACTTCGTCGGTCAAGATGATGCGGTAGCTCGCCTTGTGGAGATTCTCGAAGCGATTCTTATTTCTATCAGAATGCTTGGACCACCTGTGACAGCACCCATACGCATGCACAGACTTCGGGCACAGCGCCCTTTCTCAAACTTCCTTGTATCCTCCATCGATGGCCCACCGCATTGTGCAAGTTTGGCGAGGGTTCTCAAAGAATCAGGAGGTGATCCAAGACGTGCATGTTCTTCAACAAGAGGTGGGCGATATGTTTCCAGTTGAAGCACCCAAGAAGCGGTCGACACCAGAGAGTGCAGATGAAAGTGGCGTGGATGTCTCGCCGATTGAGCCTTCCTCCTTAACCGAACCGAAAGGGCTCGGGCCAGAAGAAGAACAACAACAAGAACTTGAAGTACCGCAAGCAGAACGTGAGAAGGGCAGAGCATTGCTACATAAGCTTCAACGAGCAGCAGGACACCCAAGCAATCAAAGCCTAGCCCGTCTTTGTCGAGATCGTAAACTACCAAAGTGGATGATTGCATGTGTAGAAGCAGAGCCGGGGGGCATGTTTGTTCCCAAACGGTCGTTAGGACAACAGCCCGCTCCTTGGCAATTTGTTTGTATGGATGTTCTTGAACTGGCCCTTCCAGCCCAGCAACGGAAAGCACGTTTTCTGCTAGTGACATGTCTTATGTCTTTCGATTCGTGCCCATCGTCCACCCGTGGACGGGCAGTCTCTCCGAGACCGGCACGGATCCCGGACCTATCATTGTGGATGCCTTTTGTGAAGGGTGGCTCATGCATCGTCCCAAGCCAGAGTGGTGTGTGGTGGATAGCCAATCCAGCCTTCGTGTTGGCGCACTTCCCACGTTATTAGAGTATGCCGGAATTGGTTTGACTGTTGTGCCAGGTGAAGCGCATTGGATCCACGGCAAGACCGAGGCCATGGTGCAAGTAGCCAAGAGGACTATGCGAAGACTGAGAAATGAGAAGCCCATGATTCAGCCGCGGAATCTTGCACCATTGACAACCTATGCCTGATCGCGTTTCAGACTTCTCGCCCATCCAGTGGGCGTGCGGCTACGACCCAGACGGATGGAACAAGCTCGAGGATCCCCTGTGGGTGAATTAAGCAGCTTGGACCTGACGTGTTTCAGGATCTTCACCGTCTACGGGATCGGGCCTCAGTTCTCAACATGGAGGAGCGTGCTCGTGAATCCTTTATGCGATTGCTTAATTCCTCACCTAAACCCTTGGGGGATTATCGAGGGTGCAACATGACTGTGAAGGCCAGAAAGCGGGGTGAGAGCTACAATCCAGAGGTGCGCTTCATAGGTCCAGGACGCATTGTTCTCATCGAACCCGCAGTTCTTGAAGATCGTAAAGAAGGGGTAATTTGGGTCTTATTTGGGACGACGGTCTACAGGTGTGCAGTGGAACAGCTTCGTCCGGCAACGAACCAAGAGGTGACCTTGGAGCTGTTGAGTGGCAGTCAAATTGTCACAGTGCCAAAGGTTGAATTGCTCCAGAGGTTGAAGACTTTTGTGAATGTCACCAAAGAGAACATCAAGCCAGATAACCCAGATTTTCTTGAGAGAGAGATCGATCAAGAAGTAGGAACAGAAAGCGTCGCCTCCCTTGATGACTCTTCCGCAAAGCCTTCCAGCGAGCGCACCCCAGGTACACAACATGGCGGAGTGTGATGATCTTCTTGCGGAGGAGACTGAGCATCTGCAACCCAACCCGAAAGAGATGTTCCAGCTGTTGTATGCGAAGATTGAACAGCTAGAAGGGGAAATTAAGCACAAGCTGGACACAGACCAACTACGACCTCAGGTTGAACATGAAAAGCACTCCGCGACACAGCTGATGTTTTCGTTGCGGCACATTGAAAACTCCTTAATTCTTATTGAGTTCGACATTGACAAAGAGGAAGCAATGATCACGAACCCGATGCTGTACACCAAGCATGTTCTAGAGAGCAAGGGGGCTGAAGTTGTTTACAGATTCGATGATGCCAAGGCTCGCGAGCTCTCAGAGGTGACCTCATCTCAGTGTTTGCGACGCGGGAGCAAGCCCGTGAAGCCTACGAGAATCTCGACAGGCACATTCCTATGAGATGGGTTTTAACATGGAAACCTGTGATTCCTCCAGAATCTCCCGAGGACGGTGGACTCACTACTGTGACGACGCATGGCTCTCGAAAGGCCAAAGCCCGACGGATTTAATTTAGTCAAGCGAAATGCAATCACTGGTAAGCCAGAGATCTTAGCTTCCTCCCGACAATTTCGAGAACAGGAAGAAACATGCTATTGCAATCCATTGCATTCGATCGTCATCGCCTTGAGAGCGCAGGCGCAGACGCAAAGTCCGCCTTCCTGCAGGCGGAGAATCATGCCCTGGCCTAGGTGTCTCCACCCCTCGTCTTTTCAGAGTGTTGGGTGCAGTTTACGGACTGACTAACGCGCCCAGAATATTCTGGGGGGACGCCGACACCAAGTTGAAGCAGCTAAGCGCAGAAGTTCACGCATTGGATCGTTGCATTTGGTTGTTTCGTGACGTTCACGGTGTTGTATGCGGTCGTGTAGGCAGTCAAGTTGATGACTTTTAGATTGGAGGTAACGAGAATAGTGAGTGCCGGCAGAAGATTAGAGCCCGCATTGCAAACATGTACAAATGGTCACCATGGCAATCAGGAGATTTCATTTATAGTGGAAGTCGTTTGAGACAACTTTCCGGCTACACTATTCATGCAAGCCAAGAAAATTTCTGTAATTCTCTGAAGCCGGTTGAGATCACGCGCGACAAATCCAGGGCTTATGGATGATGCTGAGCTCTCTCAGTGTAGAGCACTCGTTATGAAAGCACAGTGGCGCGCATGACAGTCGGCGCCGCAGTATGCGGCACGGATTGGCCTTGCAGCTTCGGCTCTTAAAGATAGACAGCTTTGCAATCTCAGGGAATCTAATGCCATTGTTCGTGAGCTGAAGAAGAGATCGAAAGAGGATCCCGTTTTTCACAGTTTCAAGGACACCTCGAGCCAAGCATTGACATACAAGGACCTGGTGTTTGTTCATTGAGCCGATGCAGGAAAACCTTTTTAAGCTCGAAGGGGCTACATTACGGGCGTCACCACTCCGAAAATTCTTGAAGGTGTCGTAGTTTGGAGAAGTTGGAAGCTGAAGCGACCTGCAGTTGGGACTAACACATCAGAGGGTCAAGCCTTGTATGAAGCAGAGGACAAAAGTTGGAGAACTGGATGTTTCTGGGCTCTACTGTATGGCACAAACTGATTTCAGAGAAGGCCGATGGACTTACATCGCTCTTCGTGTCCTTACTCGTCACCGATTCGCGAGAGTGTTATGACCTACTCACGTTGAACGAATCCCTCGGGACGAGCACGGAAAATGCGAAGACAGCGACGGATCTCTTGTCGGTGAAGCATGGCACCCGTAATGGTACGAATTGCTTCCTCACTTGGGTTCCAGGCGACATCAACCTTGCGGATAGCATGACAAAGGTGACGAACGAAGCCTTTAAGACGATCGCCTTGTACCACGAAAGAAAAGCTTGGATCATTCGCTTCAATCAAGAGTTTGTTTCAGCACGAAAACGGCAACGTTTGCGCAGAGCTCAACTAAAAGAAGCAACATATGCATTTTGCAGATTTGCCAGATATGTGGTACGAAGATCCATGGCTGGCAATTTTTGCGGAGATTTATCAAAGATAAATATTCAATTGGAGTTCAGTCGAGAAGGATGTTCTATAGGTGTTACGCATGTCCTGTAGATCGACCTGAACGCATGCTGAAATGAACATCCGAACTATGGGCTCGCAGGGCCCTTGTAGCTAAATAGTGCAAACGGGTGAAGAAAAGCTGCCATGGGCGAGCTTGAAAGACGAAATCGAGCTAAAGAGCAATGAACTTCGCTAAAGCGATGAATTCG